TATGACAATTAAAAGTACGAACGTTTCCCGATAAAATCCATCCGAGGGCAGTCTGCTGCGCAATTGGAGCTTGAGATGGACCTTTGATAAGACCGTCCATGATGATCTGTGAATAAATGCTGACATCCAAGAGAAGATCGATAGGCTTGGAAACATTGTACTCTGGATCAGCTAATTGCAGATGCTGGAGATGAGGCCATGATTGTTTTTTGAACTGAACGCTAGGCAAGTTACTGGCAACCCGAGAGAGTACGAGTGCTTCTGTAGTGAAATTATAATCGCCGTAGATAGATTGACAGTCGATAGATACTAAACCCTTACTTTGACTAGCACCTGAACCTATACCGGACACGGACGCATTGTAACGTCGCCTCTGTAAGCCTAGTCGTTGCACAGCGTTCTCCGATATAAGTGATATTTGAGACCCCTGGTCCAGGAGAGCCCTTAGGGTTATATAGGTACCGTCAGAACACCTTACATTGATCGATAACGTGGTTAATAGTAATTCTTCATCGTCTACTGCGACATGATTGGCATTAGGCTGTTTGTTGGGTGTTTTTGCGGACGGACCCGATGTAGACGATGATGATGAGGATTGATGTTTTGATGATTGCATACACGCTTCATGGAGTATGGTATGATGATTGCCTTGGCAAGACTTGCAACGTTTGGTGGAAGTACATTCATTTCCGTCGTGAGAGAATAGGCAATTTTTACAAATATTTGATTGTGTAACTATTCTCATTTGTAAATCCGGAGTCATGTTAATAAATTTTTTGCATGAAAACAAATTGCGATTATGATTTAGGTTGCAAACTGCGCATTTCGAGATATGAATAGCTTGAGCTTGATAATTTCGATGATTAAAGCCTTTATAATTATTATATTTGTAATAATTATTTTGCACTTTTGGATTTGGGGTTCGTTTGATAGATGTAGCGGGTTCCTTATCATATTTGGTTATCTGTTCCAACGCAGTAAATTTACCTTCAAGGAATGTCATTAACTCGTCTAACTTAGGTAATTTTCGCGGTTCGACGCGTGCTTCTCTGTAATCAGTCTGGGTATCCGTATCCAGTTTTTTACATAGAAGGTGCACCAATAAAGGATCCCACGCATTAGTATTGACGCCAAGATTGTGAATAGCATGAATGCACTCCGTAGTAGTGTCATATAACCTTTTGATTTCGGATGATGATTGTTTTTGAATGTTGGGCTGATTGAGAAATATTTCGATTTGATGAGTGAAAAGAGCTTGCTCGTTGTTGTATCGATGGACTAAAATCTCCCATGCGGTATCGTAGTTTTCCGATGAGACATTTAAATGATAGATGAGTCGTTCAGCTTCGCCCTTGAGCTTACCCTTAAGATGTTGCATCTTTTGGGCCTTGGTGATGGAATTATTGTTATGAATTGTCTCGCTAAACAAATCATAAAAGGTTGGCCATTGACTATAATTTCCGCTGAACGTAGGTATCTCAAGTTTCGGAGTGACCTTTTCTAAATGAGTCGTAGAGGAGATTTTCCTATTTAGCTCGCGTTTGATATTTTTGTAAGCTAACTCATGACGAGTGAATTCCTCGTCATACGATATATCTCCACCCGCAAGTATATGATCGATTTTCAAATGAAATGAGCGTCGATAATTTTCCAAATAGACTGAACGCCGTTTAGCTCGTCTTCGAGTTCCCATTTATCCGATATATTTTCAACCTTGATGCTCTTAATAAGTCGACTAAGTGCCCTGAAATTAGTCCGCTGCATTGCTAACAATTCATCAACCTCCCCATCTGGTTGAGTTGATTTTGATGATTTTCCGTAAGATGATAAGAGGATGCGGACAGACTGATAAAGGTCTTTGCCTACCTGATAGGTATTTAGACGGAAATATTCATCTGCCTCACTGGCATGATCGGAAATTCTAGAATGATTTTGTTCGAACTCTTCCCAGAGAGCGTCTAGCGCGCCTAACCGTTTTTTGATGTATTCGGCATTTTTGCGGGAATCCGAGTCCTTATTAAAGTTGACCTTTATGGTAGTGATACTGGAGATGATTTCAGATTGACGGGCTATACGAGATTCCATGTTGAAAAATAAAGGAACAGTCTTACTTGATAAATGATGATCCAGATGCGACGTTACAGTAGTGACGTCCTACGCCCCTGCTGGTGATTCCAACGAAGCTGACAGCGTGCGCGACCTCTCGCGCCACAGATGAGATGAAGATGATGAAGTATCGCGATTCAATGAACACGACCGAGATGGCTTAAGCTAGCGATGCTCAAGTCGATGATGTGTGTAGATTACACTGGTGATCGCACGGAACTTAAGTCCACGTCACGTTGACGTACACGAGACACGAATGCGCGCGCGAGGTCAAAGTAACCGCGAAGGTCCCGCCACGATCCGGCTCGAAGGACCAAAAAAAATGTAGAAGATTCCTACACCTTTGATGATACGATATGATGAGGGGTTAATCCTATAAGGATATAGAAATAATACCACCCGATTTGAATGCTAGATTAACATTGATTTATAATTCGTTATAAAAGACACAAATTACATTTTGCATTGTTTGCAATATACACAAAACCTGAGTGTGCAGAACGCACGGGCGTGAGTAGTTAAAATAATGTACGGTTCCGTACACATACCCTACTCTACATACCCTACTCTACCTACCCTACTCTACCTACCCTACTCTACATACCCTACTCTACCTACCCTACTCTACCTAACCTACTCTACCTACCCTACTCTACCTTCCCTACTCTACCTAACCTACTCTATCCTATCCTATGTCCTTCTCCTGGCTCTAAACTACCTCCCTGCCAATTTTTAGCTAAATCGGTTCAGCTGTTCTCGAGTTATAAGTGGTGTAACTAACACGACTTTCTTATAAATATACATATAGATTTGACATTGTATATTCTTTATTAATATTTTTATTTTTGTATTTCATGTTTGACATTATGCTTAGGTACTAATAACTCCTGAGCATGCATGTAACGGTAATTATCCCCCCCCCCCCCTTCTTGACATTTGTTTATTTGTTAATGTTTAACTTTGACATTGTCTTGTAATGATAAGGTCATTCAAATTGTGTTCAATATTTGTACGCTGGAAACAGCAGAATATTATAATTTGTAAAACAATATTATGACAAATAAATCATTATTATTATGATTATTTTATTTAAATGGTTTAAACCTAGGCTAGAGACAAATTTTGATTCGTAATAAGGGGGCCTAAGTCCAATCCAATAAAAGTAGAAGACAGTAATTTGTGGGCCCCGTGAAATTAGTCAATGCATTCACTCTGCCATCCTCAAATAGCCAGGCTCATTTTGCATAGACTAATTCAAAACTATCTTTCGTTGTAAAAAAAACTTTATTCAAATTGGTCTTAAATAATTATTTATAGTTTATAAGTATATGCATATGTGGACGCAATTAAATGTCCCTGATAACGTTATTACATGTTGGCTAACGATAACAGGCCACTTGGGGAGTTACTCACACACTTCAACAATAGCCCATTAGAGCGAGGCGTATTGATAAACATTGTGGGCCTACCTGGTTGCAAAGGAAATTCTTTTAAAAATAACGACTTGTTGATATATCTTATACAGACGCCATTAAAACATATTTACCTATCTACTTAATAAGATTAAATGTGGTATCTTAATACCCTTACATAATGGAACCAATTTAAAAATGTACCAAAGAACCTGTATGTGAAACTGATTTAAAAAGAGTAATGATGGAGTTTCTTGCTCGATCTCTATCTGAATCTACACTATGGAACGAGCAAATAGCTGCCACAATGTCAACATCAAGTTTAAAATTGTGCGCAGAGCATTGTTAATGGTTTTACACAAAGAGCCTCAAAGAGCCAATAGACCACCACAGACGGGGCCCTAGAGGGCTGATGTTCAGCCGGGGTTGCGGGGTAAGCGGAATGAGGCCCCTTGGCCTCGGCCCAGAGCAGGAGAAGGAACAGGGGGTTTTTAGTCAGTAACATTCTGACACATAGGCAAGGAGTGAACCCATATTTAAAGGTAGTAGTAAAAACAGGCCCATTGAGAGATTTTAAGGCTTCGTCATATACAATGAGACCTTTTGGTAACTTATCGAAATCTTTCAATACATTATCATCTTAAAAATATTTGTAATAAAGTCAAAAATTGACCAGTAGACGTCCACCCTCGACGCAGTACTTTTAATGATAAGAATTCAATGATTTATATAAATAATACTGTTCTCTGGCATTCTTCCAAAATCGCTATCAATTGGCGAAACATCTTTATTGGACATATTGTTTATTTAAAATTTTAAATCGAGCTGATTGGCTAATGGCTAAACTAATGTAAACATTCACTGTATGTTATTCTTCCAAATCCAACAACGGATCACAGTTTGAGATTTTTTTTTATACATTTAGCAATGGAACATCGCGAAGATGAAGAAAACCGTAACTCGTTACGTTGACACGGATGCCGCGAATTGTTTACCATCCGGTCAGCTATGGTAAAGTATATAAGTGTTTCCTACGTAAAAGTTATTAAATTAAACACTTTATATAAGTATAATAAGTGTGGGAGAGCCATGCATCGAAGTGTGGGAGAGCCATGCTTAGTCACGAATGGGTCGGCTCGACCGGAGTGATACCACGGCCTAACAAAAAACCGGCGTGAAAAAAACCACAGCGTTATGTTTCGCCGTGTGAGTGAGGTTACCGGAAGCCCAATCCTTCCCCAATCCCTAAATCTCCAAATCCTTAATCCCCAAAAGGTCGGCAACGCACTCGTAACTCCTCTGTTGTTGCGGGCGTCCATGTGCGGCGCCGATTGCTTACCATCAGGTAATCCGTATGCCCGTTTGCCGACCTATCACATAAAAAGAACTGTACGTATACTTAGAAGACCAATACCGCCGATCCAAAGTAAACCACCAAGGAGATTGTCAATTATTCATAACAAACCAGATGTAAAAGCTCACCTGTCACTCTTAACTCCTAATTCCTGTTCCACCAGTTCAAATAGTACTTTAGCATGTTTCTTGTTCTGTTCAACGCCAAGCGCCCCAATCGACATGAGGTTTGCAATCGCACAAGGCTCGGTGGACCCGCCAAAACTCATTTGCACGTCTGGTATGATGGAAACTACACAGTACTGGAAAGAAATAGTTTGTTAAAAAAACCGGTCTCATTGCAGATTTCTTCTACCGATGAATAAGGCGCCCGCTTCTTATGCACGAGGGTGCGGGTTTTAGGGTGTTTGTTGCGGGTTTTTGATTAATGAATTGCGAAGAGATGTGGATTTCAAGCCATGTGATTGGTAAATCGCGGTACAGCTCTTCTCCGCTCCGCCTCAATGGAGCTGCACCCTTAAACCTGGCAAGTACCACTTTGACTTTTTTCCGAGTGATATGTATTTTCTATGATTATTAAGATACCACTGACAAACAGTAAAGGAAAGCATCTTGAGGAAACCTGGACTTGTAATTCCCAATTATAAGTTTGAAATGACCAATCCGCCTTGAGCAATAGTGGTGATTAATGCTCAAACCTTCTCCATGTGACTAGAGGCCTTTGCGCTATACTGTGTATGTAATGTGAATATAATTAGTATGCAACTTGTTAAATAGTGAAATATTATTCCATTGAAAAGTCCAGGGGTCATAGATGACCTTGGAGCAGAGGCTGTGTACCACAGAAATATGCATGTTACACTACTGGGCCAATAGAGTTACTCTTCAAGAGAATGTTTGTAGAGTTGTTGTTGTTCCAGGGGCCCTAGTCTACTATTTTCAAAGTGATGTCATTCCTACACAGTTGTCTTTGTCATTTTGCTAAAAGTTTATAATCTGTTAATTCAAAATGACTGATCATTGGCGTTCGGCAATGTCGTAATAGAATTATAATACGAGATGTCTTGTAAGGTATTACTTATAAACAATAACTGCACGTTAATATTCTAAACGTAAATCATCGATTACAGGAACTGTAATTTTTTTATAAATTTACCACATTATGTCAAATATTCATTTGTCATTATGTACGAGATTACCATTCTAAAGAATTATTTCAATGAAGTGGCATTGGAAAGGCATAATGACGCTATCGTGTTAGTAGATTGCCAAACTTGTCAAAATCAACAATTTTGAAACCAATGATCTACTATTCTGACACTATTGCAATAGCAGACTCTAGGCCCAAGTCAGAGTGTAATGTTTAAGTAAAATTATGTGTTTGTAAACACAGCCACAACGCAGGTGTTGGACAATGTTTTTAAATAAGTAAAAGGAATAAGCATTGTATTGAAAAGTCGAAATATGTTTATATTTTTATGTACATTTCTGTTATTTTAATTTCAAACATTACTTGATAAAAATACATTTCTTGTTTGCTTTCTTATGGAACTAATTTGAAATATCATAAATAATGTCATGATAAAGTATATTTGAGTATAAATTAAGTGGTAATGAAGCAATCTCCTCCTTATAAGCTTTTATTTTTTCAAAGTCAAAGTCAAAATCATTTAGTCCAACTAAACCATAAATAGGTACTTTTGAAACGTCAAAATAGAATAGTAGTCTGTCAGTCGGCTTGTCAGTGAAACTAGGTGTTCATTCTAAATTGTAGATTCAAATGGAGAAGTACAAGCAAGAAACTACATTGATACTCTTTTTAAAAAATAATATTTCTTTTACAATTTCTGTAATATAACATTTAGTATATATTATTGTACCCCTATGTGAGAACAATGCAGAGACAAGTTGTAAAAAAAAGAACAAATGATGAGATCCATCATTAAATTTTAATCCTTTGTCGTTTTAAACATGTGGCTCATAAATGCGTAGTCACAATCTTTAAGAGTGCTTCTATATAAACTCTTTGGCCAATTTTCTAAGTAGTATTTAACCTCTATGCAACATTATTTTACATTGACAGACATGCGTTATGCCTTCTCACCAGTCAACCTTAGAGTTAAATGTAGAGAGTAAACAGTAGGAGCACTAAATAAGGCTTTATAGGACAAAAATGAGTTTCATTAAATTTAAGATTCTTATCACAAATATAGAATCTTTTTAGATTTCGAATTTTCATACAATGTGATTGTCACAAATGTGATCACTAAAAGGCAAAAGGACCATAACTTAAATTGCATGGTAATCTTAAATATTCTTAATTTTTCCCTTTGTGTAATTAATAATAAATCAGAAAAATAAATTGTGACACACAGGTAATTGTTATTATGAATGGAACACATTAGTTAATTATTTTAGTCAGTTGATATTATTATGGTATTAATTAATAAATTATAGGCAATTTAAATTAATACTGAACATCAATGAATAAATGTAATTAAGTTAGTAACCAATAATCATTCATAATATTATCATTATAACATGCATAAGAGATTCATATTGGTATTTTAATTTATGACTCATGTTTAGATGATTTTTAATTTACTTGTTCACATTTTTTAATTAAATATTGTTACAATACAAGCGGTTTTGAAATAACGAAAGATCAATTTAACATATTTTTATGGACACTATGCATGTAATATTTGTTTAAAGTAAAAAAAAACATTATAAGGATACAATCGATAATTATACTAAGACAAGCCCCTTAGGCTACCCACTGAGTCAGTTTATTTTTCTAATAAAGCATTGAATTAAAAAATTAATATCGAAAATAAGTACCTGCTCGGGTTTCCCAAGCGCTTTGGCCAACACCGGCACAGCTTTTTGCACAAAATTAGCGGGAATTTGGCTTCTTGATACATTTGTTTCGATCCTGAAGTGAGGCATATTTATCTAGATTTTAATAAAAACTGAATTTCTAAGCGAAGGAAAAGGAAAATCAAATGGACCAGCTTGACTACAGTCAATTCAATTTATTCAATGTCAGACAATGTCAGTGATACTGTGATAGGTACTCGTATTGTAAATGTCAGTTGTGTCAAAGGTAGAACTAATAAACTAAATGTGGCACAAGATGTCGCTAGTAGAATAATGAAATAATTAATGTTCTATCGTAAATTACATATCTCTAGTATATTACTATAATCTATGTTACATATATATTTCCTTTACTTTGAGTGCACTTGAAGATAATTTTATTTAATTTAAGATGACGGAGTCATACGACCTTACTATAAAAATAATCTACATAGAATAGATTTTACACTGTGTATGCATTTTTAAATAAAACTGTTCGTCATTTCAAGACGTAATTTTAAAAAACTAATTTACTAGTTTAATTACGTTTTTATTCAAGAATACGAAATTAAATTAATTATAATAATTTGGAAATAATAGGTTTTCTAGATCGCATAGACAATTATATAGATAGATAATTTTGTTATCAAGAACATAAATTGTCTATTCCTGGTGAATTCCGGGTAGAGGACTAATAGTGTTGTAGTTGTGTTCGATTGAATAAAATTTTGATAGCGTAGTAATAGTGTCAAAACGTTATATTGATAATATTTTTAAAATAAGTAATCAAAGCAGCATGTTTCGTTTTCTAATGTAACATTTCGAATGCTATCTTTTTTTGTAGTTGAACTAATGTATGATTACGTTGTGTATTTCAGTAAGTTAAAAAATAACCGTATTAACGTGAACTCAAAAAAGGGGATAACGCTTCTATTCGCTGAAAGGGTAGATGTTGGATAATGAAAGAAAAAGAGACTATACACGTATGGATAGAATTAAATTAGATGGTTAACTTCTGTACAATTTAAATTGCATTAAATCTATAGGTATATATAAAAAAATATCGAAAATGTATTGGTAATCTCGTACATAACACAACAACGGATAAATAAATTTTGCCTTTTTTGTGTTGTAATTTATTATGATCAGGAGAAGGTTCATAAGAAAGAAAATTTTAGAAAAGTAGAGGGAAAAATTAGAAGTAGTTATCCTTTCGTATCCTTTCGTTGTAGCGATATTGTTGGACGGGTGCGAGGCTGCTATTTATAAATAAAATTCTCGCGTAATGATTTATCATTACTTAATGAGGCCATTAATAAAGTTATAGAATAAAATCAGTTAATCGATATTGCAGTCACATCATTAGGTTATGAGAGTGGTGGGGAGAAGCTATGTGTATTTCGTAGATTCTCTACTCTATGGGCCGGGTAATTTGTCTGTCTGTTGTGTGCACTCTGCGGGGACGAACTCTTTTGTTTAAGTACTTTATTAATAACTACATGATTATACTATAAAGAGTCATTAGATTAAAATCACTCAATATATAAACTCGTCTCAATATATTTTGCTCAGTATCAATCCAGATTTCCTGTAAAAACTACCGCTTTAGTGAATTTCATATTATTGTGTGTGTGTGTGTAAAATTTTCTTAAAGAAGGAATCAAACATGGGCGCAGAGGAAAGCAAAGCGAAACAGTAAGTGTTTTTGTTTTACTTTTAATTCTATCTTGGTTAACATTACGAACTTATTGCCTTTTACTTTAGGTAGGTACTTATTGTGAAACTTAATCCTTGCCTTTACTATTCCTTATTTATTACCTGCATTAGTGCATTTTCACACTCCTTAGTATAAGCACCCACCGTTTGACAAAAACCCCGTTCACCAAATAAAGTTCATTTTGTTTGGTAAATTTTCTTTGCCTTTCTTTTATTGGCGAAGGTTGATCGTTAGTAGGCTGCTGACTCGAGTGTGATGTAAGATGTGTGTAAGCTATCATCATCATCAGCCTATAACTACCCACTGCTGAGCAAAGGCATCTTCTCATACGGATCATTAATCACCACGCTTGCTCAATGGGTTGGCGATTTCAAACTTATAATTACAAATTACTTATAAGTTCACGTTTCCTCTCGATTTTAACCTTCACCGTTTGTCAATGGTGTCTGTCTTCTCTTCTCTATGCTAAATATAATCATAGAAGCGGGCGCCATAACCTCGGGGCCACCACGACCGTCTTCTTTATACTCCTTCAAAGCTAAGCTTGGAGATGAAACGAATATCCTTTTTACTGGTATAATATCAGCCACTTGAATCCATATGAGGTCAGGAGAATATATATTTTTTTTTATTTAATATGTCGGTAAACGAGCAGACGGATTACCTGATGGTAAGCAATCAGCGCCGCCCATGGACACTCGCAACGGAGGAGTTACGAGTGCGTTGCCGACCTTTTAGGGATTAGGGATTTGGAGATTTAGGGATTTAGGAGGGATTGGGGGAGGGGAAGGATTGGGCAATCTAACCTACTTCAAAATTAAGTACATAGTATAAAACAAAGTCGCATTCTCTGTTCCTATATCCCTATAAATGTATAGGTATGTATGTACCTATGCATAAATCTTTAAAAGTATGCAGCAAATGCATTTTTGATGCGGTTTCTTTGATAGATAGACTGATTGAAGAGGAAGATGTATAATTATATGTATAACGTTTATTAAATAATAAGGCTGATCATATAAAAGCTGTAGAGTTTGTTTGAACGCGCTAATCTCCAGTACCTACTACCTAGTAGTTCAAATTGAACAATTATTTTTCTCAGTTTTTTGTCAGTCCAATTATCAAGAAAGGCTATAGGCTCGATCTGTAAAAGCCGAGTAGCGGGTGAAACCGCGCGAGAATAGCTAGTACGGACCCCGGCAGGTAACTTGGCAAGAGTCGTTAAATGCGCAAAGTCATATTTTAGGTGCCTCTGGTGCCAGCTACTGTAAATAAATACCTACCTATTATAAACATGCCTTCGCCCGGGTCCAACTATCTCGCTAACAACGAAAAGAATCTCTACTTTTATACCTTTTTCTTTAATAATTCTTTAATAAATAATCTCCTTGGCAAAATCGGTCCAGGCTTTGTTGAGGAGTTATGCGCTGCGCTCACCAACACGTTTTGCGATTGATAGCTTATAAATAAAGTTGTAATAGCTGATATTATACTAGCTTTTGCCCGCAACTTTGTTCTCGTAGAATAGTAACTTCCTGCAGATTTTTGGTATTACAGTTACTTTCGCATTTATATTATTAATTTGGAAGTTTAGATTTGGATAAATGAGTATATTCAGACAGTCGAAGCTTATGTTTAAATACATAAATATTTTTGTATCATATTTTATGCGAAGTGCGACGTAATTTATAAGCACAATAACAATTTAAAAATTAGCTGTTGTGGGCTATGCTAGGTTTAGTTTTTTCCGTCATTCGTATTTCAGCACCTGTGGAATTATCCCTGCGACGGCTTTAAAGTACCTACCAGTCTCAGTCAGGGCTGTGATCCTTTTTTGATCATATATCACTAAGGTTTTTGGGTAGCATTTCTTCTCAGCGGTTTATATAGAATAGATGATAGCGGCATTATTTACATATGTATATGTACTCGTATTATAAATAGAATAGGCTATAAAAAGAAAAATATAATTTTTTTTAAACGTGATTGGCGTCTATCACTTGCCATCAGGTGATCCGTCTGCACGCAAGTCCTATTCCATAAAAAAAACCTGTGACATCATAGGTACTAAATTTATTGAAACCTAGCTGACACAGTAAACTCTATACCGCCTTAAATATATGTTCTTACTTTTTACACATTCCCTGGACTTTAACGAATATTTTAGACAAAAATTATCTAAAATAGACCAGCCGTTCTCGAGTTGTGGAGAGAATAACGAACAGTTATTCGTTTTTATAAATGTACTAGCTACTCTCGCGCGGTTTCACCCGCTGCTCGGCTCCATTTAATCGTAGCGTGATGTTTTTTGTTTATAGCCCTCAGGAACATTGTAGGTATTTATCAGGGAAAGCATTTTGGCAATCCGACCAGCAGCGGTTCCAAAGATTACCCCTTACATGCAAACTAACTTTTATTTCTTAATAATATTAGTATAGATATGTACATTTATTATAACGACATACTCACGCGAATAAGGTAATTAAGACAGGCTCTACTAGTTTCAAATCACAGCGGGACTCTCATTCATGAGCACAGTTTTTGTCAGTTAATTCGCGCGAGTAAATAAATGGTCATTATTTAACTTTATATTTTATTTTAATCTGATACGTTGGCGAAATGTATTATTTATAACATGTAAGTACCTAATGTAAATAAATAGTTCACAATGCTGCGCGCCCAATAAAACTGTTCTTGTATCTACAGTCAACTCAGCACCAAAGCATGATCAAATTGCAAACTTGTCGGTACGGGAATTTCAACCTTATTCCTACAGGGATGAAAATTGAATCTTTTTAGTTTAGATTATACCTACTGAGACCGGTATCTTAATGTGTCTGTAACTGGAGTCGAATATTTGTATATTTAATATTTAGCTAACAGTTGGTGCATCCTCTTTCAAGTTTGATACATTTCATACCTATAAAAATACGTAGGTACCTAAGTGTGGGAGAGCCATGCTTGGAATGGGTCGGCTCGACCGGAGCGATACCACGGCCTCACAGAAAACCGGCATAAAACAACTACAGCGTTGTGTTTCGCCGTGTGAGTGTGGTTACCCGAGGCCCAATATTTGCCCTCCCCCAATCCCAAAATCTCCAAATCCACAATCCCCAAAAGCTCGGCAACGCACTCGTAACTGCTCTGTTGTTGCGGGTGTCACTGATTGCTTGCCATCAGGTAATCCGTAAGCTCGTTTGTCGAACTATCTACTACTACTAAAAAATAACGGAAACCTAATTAGGAATTAAAGTATAATATAATACTGGTCGTCAATTAACCTCATTGCCTCATTAATACGGCGAAACATAACGATATGGTTGTCTCACGGGGGTTTTCTGTAAGGATACTGTCTTTGGTATCATTCTAGTCGAGCCGGTCCATTCGTGCCGAAGCATGGCTCTCTAACAATACGGTAGTTTCCAACTAGTCAAATTCAATACTTTTATCCAAATGTCAAAAACGATACTTTTCTATGAAAATCGTTTCATACCTTTTCATAGGTATGAAACGCTGAGTTATATAAATAGCTTAGATACTTATTTCTTAAAAATTTGTTAATAAATATCTAAAATTTAACATTATTTAGCAGGTACTTATAGTACCTATTTATTTTTCAATATTTCATTGTATTGAAACGTCGAATTACCTCATTATTTTTAACCTCAGTTTTTAACGTAAAAAACTACCCAATTGAACATACAGTATAGTCCGTTTCAAACTTGATGACATTTCGGAAATTGTGTGAATTGGGTGCACAATGCACAATTTATTCATCCTCGTCGCAAAAATGCACTCGACAGACATGTCGCGTTGCACTATACCTACCTACTTAATACAGACACATAACCGCATGAATCGTCGTGATAATTGTTAGTGGGTATGTGTATATACTATACATATATACATTGTTAGGTTTGTATTCATACATACATATTTATACGTATAGGACAGTTAGACTCTTGCACATCCATTATCAGTATTTTGCCTTTGTACTCGTATGTAAGTAGGTACTTACAAACAATAGGGATGTCCCCTGGGTTAAAACAACAAGATTCTATTTAGAACGTCAGTAAGATTATAGAAAAATACTCGATACGTATTTTTTTATTTTTCCATACGAATAATATTGACAAAGATACAGCACATTCAAATTCAGGAGAAGTGGCTCGTGACGTCACTCTTTCGTAAAAATTTTCCGAAATAATGACGTAGCGCGAACTTTCGCCGCTCTGTAACTGTTTTATTTTAAGTTTCAGAAGCAAAACAAAAAAATACGTATCTACTATTTTCTGGCATTCTAAAAGATGGACTAATTATTATTTTTTTGTCATCATCCCTATTATCGATAGGTACAATGACTAAGCTTAAGTACATAATAACTTACGGACCAAAGAAAATATATTAAATTTATTTATTTATTTACTTATTTATGTTAATACGGATAAGGTAGGTCCATTACAATAACAACAAAAACCAAGAAAAAATTTCAACATTCGTAAATTCATCTCGCAGTAAGTACCTCATGCGCTCCAAAGTACCTAATTTCGTTTCAAAAACTTTTGTGAAGGGAAAATCATTAAATGACTTACCCACCCAGGGGGAGGCCGGAGGGAGTGTCAGACTCTTACTGACTAAACCTGCCGTTCCTTCTCCTGCTCTAGGCCGAGGCCGCAGTTTCTACTTGCGCTTACCCCACCACCCCAGATGTTTGTACTTGGCTATGTTCATGTTTACTTCCTTCAGTTAAATGGATTGTTTAGTCGGTATATAGGTATAGGTACATAGGCAGACTTGGACTTTGGCTTTTTCTACCAGTCGAGTTTTATGTGTTTTACGAGCCAATGGGTGATGCAAAAAGCAAACAAACAGACATAACAGATTATTAATGTTAAATTATTATTCAAGACGATGTTTACTATATCCTATTTCCATCCATTCCAGAATGTGGATAGAAAGGACAGCCATATATGTAGATATGAGTTTTATGTTATTCGTTTATTTCTTTGACAGGCCACAAATGAGTGTTTCTGACGTCCAGCACATCCTCGACCAACAACGACAGCAATTCGAGAAGAAACTTCAAGAGGAACTGGCGAAGCAAAGAGCTGAACAAGCCAAGGAGCAAATCTCTAAGCAACGAGCCGAACAGAGCTCTATGCCCTCGGCTGCAACCGCAAGGTACTTTATTCAGGACTAGCTACTCGCGCGGTTTGACCCACTGCTCGGCTCCATCGTGATGTTTTATAGCCTATAGCACTCAGGAAAATTTTAGCTATCTGTCAGTTTTGGAAATTCGACAAGCGGTTCCAAAGATTACCCCCTACATACAAACTCACAAACTTACAAATTTTACCTCTTTATAATATTAGTATAGATTTTATAATATTAGTATAAGAACGGTTTATGAGAGTTTATGCTGCATTTTATTTCTTAATGACGCAATCGGAATTAAAAAGTTTAGGAGATTACAATGGTCATCATCTTTGTTATCAACATCATCTGCTCATTTTCGGTTACTCTTGAGCAGGGTTCTGATTATTATTTTATCTCATTACAATTTTTGTCTTACCCCCACAGCACGTCGGGAGTTTCTCAGCAACAAGCCGTACCATCAGCACCACAGCAGCTATACCCTAACCTGAACCAAACGCCAATAAACACGGCCATTAACCATTACCACACACCAACCAATCCCGTTCATGTTAATCAGCCCCATCCCTTTATACAACCTAACCCCATGTTCCAACCCCATCCCTTAAACCAACCCCATCCCTTAAACCAACCCTATCCCTTAAACCAACCCCATCCTTTTAACAAACCCCATCCCTTTAACCAACCCCGTCCTAGGAACCCACGCAATTATCACAATTCCTGTCAAAACCGAGGGACGTCGACGCCACCGCCAGCGCCGCAAAATTACGTCTTTGACAACGCCCCTGGACAAAGGTACCTAGTTAACACAACGGTCATTTTACTTTTACAATATTTGTATTCTAAGTACCTACTTACTTGCTACATTAACAATTAAATGTAAAGTATCAAAACTGGCAACGGATCATCTGATTTAATGGTAGGTAATAATTTATTCGCTATCGCCAGAGACACAAGCTCGAGCGTTGTTTGACGGAGGTACTCTGTGGTGCCGTAGTTTTTTTTTATGTAATAGGTCGGCAAACGAGCAGACGGATTACCTGATGGTAAGCAATCAGCGCCGCCCATGGACACCCGCAACGGAGGAGTTACGAGTGCGTTGCCGACCTATTAGGGATTTGGAGATTTAAGAACTGAGGAGGGATTGGGAAGGGGAAGGATGGGGCCTCCGGTTACCTCACTCACACGGCGAAACACAACACTGTGGTTGTTTCACGCCGGTTTTCTGTGAGGCCGTGGTATCACTCCGGTCGACCCGACCCATTCGTGCCGAAGCATGGCTCTCCCACACATTAGTATAGGCATAACTCAGGTCGAGCCGTCCAAACATTTACATATTTGCAGAAGCAAACAGATTTAAAAACAAATCGCATTACCATTGACCTTTGGTTTCAGACCAGCCCCATCAGCACCGTTGGAACCGTCAACTCCTGCAGCTCCATGGCGTGGCCCCAGAAACCGCTCGAATAGCAGGTACATACATGTAACATAGTTACTCTACAAAATGTCCTTCTTTAATAGATTATCTACCTTACATTTACAGCTGCACTATAGACCTTCTTAGCGAATGAAAGAAAGCTAGTGAACTAGATTAGAGATCACAGTTTATAATTATCATGTTTATCGAAGAGAAAGATATTGTCCTTTCGTCGACTTATACCACAGCGAATTGTATTCGACTTTGCAATCCACACGTCTTAAACTTTACTTGGTAATAGGTAAAGTAACCCTGATAGATTTGCCAACGTGACTCTTTTTTTGGGGCATAGCTAATCATCAACTGTATTCTCGCGCCAAGGGTGGGGCGAGAGGGAATGTCAGACTCTTACTGACTAAACACCACCCTGTAACTTCTCCTGCACCAGGCGGAGGTTTCGATACAATATTGCGCTTGACCCGCAACGTGATCCTAATGTTGACATTTCTTTTAGGCCTCGCAATAATCAGGAACGGGGCATCTATGACTGCATCACGTGTAACCAAAGATATGGATTGAAAATATTCCAATGTCCGAATGGACACAGCGTCTGCAACGATTGTAAGGTCACAGGGCGGCCATGTGGTATTTGTGGACAACCACCTTCTGACGTCAGGAATTTTGAGATAGAGAATCATATTGCTCAGGTAATTGAACATTTTAATATATGTAAACTTTTAATTAGTAACAGTTGATTAATGGGGTGTATGAATTTTGTAACATTTATCTACGCGCAAAATATAAATCATGATTTCTCGCGGGATGTCTTTATCCATGGCAAGTCCCAGACATCTTTAGGTAATAAGACAAAACAAAAAGTCTAGAAGACTTGCCGTAATAAGCCGTTAACTGTAATAATTATGATTGGATTTCGTAATAAAAAATGATGATTATAATTAAATTTGCAGACCACAGTACCCTGTCCTAACCAAAATGAAGGATGTACACAACAGATCAAACTGTTGACCATGGAGAATCATTTGAAAAATTGCACCTATAGGGAGCAACAGTGCCCTCTCTCCGCCATCTTTGGGGAATGCCGCTGGAAGGGTAAGACAGTACCACATATCTATCATTCATTACCGTTCGTATGCTACCATTTTACCTCATTCTTCTGATTAATATAATGGCCCTAATTTAACAAGGCACGGCCTTATTACTTTCGAACTGTAGACTTGCTCAAATACTGCTCAAACTTAAAACAGATGCCTACACTCTAAATTGCACTATCAAAAAGTCGTAGGTAAATCCGCCGCTCTTGGCTCTATTTCGAGAACTACATACAATTATGCTTTCAGGTAAACTGAGTGACTTGTCAAGTCACTTTGACGAAATGCACTCTTCGAACCGCGGGTTTGACGTAGACAAGGAGTTTTATCTAAAAGATGTCCATAATTCCAGCCAAATGGTACATCTCGTCGTGATTGGTGTAAATAACTTCTTATGCCACATGAAAGTGTCTGAACCAGACGGCAAGATCTTCATGGCCGTCCAACTCTTGGGCAATAAGATGAACGCCAAGAAGTGGTCGTATGAGATTCATATATATCAGAAAAGTAAACCTCGCAGGAAGTATATGTACACCGACACTTGTTTACCAGCCAGTGCCAATATAGAAGACATATTCAAAGCTGGTAGCTGCGCCACGCTGCCGATATTCTACGCTGCAACATTTGCCGATACGGAAGGGATGGCCTTCAAATTGTTCATTACAAATCCTTATGTGAATAAGAACGAGGAAAGTGTGAATAGAAATAACAACGGTAATAACTTTAACCAACGCGGTAGGGGTAGGAATTATTATAATCATTATAATAATTATTAGATGAGTCGTCATGCTTAATAGAAAGGATACTTTTAAATGTTTTTCTTTCTTATAAGAAGAATAAATCATTACTAATTTGAAAAAAAGTTGTTTCTAACTGGTTTTTACTTCCCGTTTAACTAACATATATAAGGATTGTGTGCCTTATGTCATCAAAATACATTTCTTATGTATAATGCATAAATCGGGCAAAGTTTAATTATAAACTTGGACACATTATTTCATAGTCGTTGGTGTTACAAATAGCCTTAAATAAGTTTATTTTTATTTTTGAAACACCAAATAGTGTTGCCAGGTAGGGTTTACCACTGGCTTGTCTTGGTATTATTCAAGCATTTGTTTCTTTGAATGTTTGCCATTGACAAATTTAAAATAAAATAAGATTGTTAATAAAATAGCTTGCCATGATCTTATGTTGTTCCGTAAGTGCTAAATCACATTGGAACATTTTATTTTTAACATACTTAATTATTATCATATTTGACATGGCTAAGCTTTTTATTACAAACCTTTTTTTTAAATGTTAATCTCTATCATTATAATAAGAAACCTAGTGGTTATCTTGAGTTTATAGTAGGTATTGAATATGTATCTACCTACTATAATTAGAATATAAATTACAAATATGATTTTAAGTTATGATTAAATTTAAACTAATTACTTTTACCTTTAAGTAATAAGTTTTAAACTACATGGGTAATATTTTGCTGTCGTAGAATAGGCCCAGAGATCACAAGAAGTGGATAGATAATGGCGGGAATCTTGTATCGCAACGGAATCCACGTGATAATGTAGGTAGATGATAAAACCAACAATCTCAAAGACAACGATTATGGGGTCTATCAGAGACATAGACAAAGTTAGTAAAAACTACCAATCACTTCTAAGTTGTTAAAATTAATGCCAGTCAGGTAGGTATCGAGATAAGGTACTCTTAGTAAATCAAGTATCGTACCGGGTTAGTTCGGGTTACTTTGACCATGCGGGGTAACTTTGATCCAAACCCTTTAACCAATAATAACTGAGAACCAAACATATATTAGTTTTTCATTGGTTCGAAAATTTGGATCAAAGTTACCTCCCAGGGTCAAAGTAACCCGAACTTACGGTACCTACTTTATTTCAATTCTGTGTTTTCGTTTAACGAAAGACTTGTTCGATGTCAACGTAGATATATTATTTAAGGGTATAATGCCCCTCTAGGTAGACCTACATCTAGATTTATTTTACAAAATGTAGTTACCTACATTAATTGAATTAGGGTGTTAGGTAGTGATTTTCTTTAGTTTTTCTTATTGTTTATTTAGGTTAGCATATATAATGATTTTAATTTTGTAAGTTTCGGCAACGCACCTGTGACTCCTCTGGTGTTGTAGGGGTCCATGGGCGGCGTCGATCGCTTACCATCAGGTGATCCGTCTGCTCGTTTGCCTCCTATTCCATAAAAAAAGCTCAAATTTAAGTTACCGAAGCATAACTTTTGATACGCCATGTAGGTAGTGCTGTTTTCTTGTCAACCAAACTGGTTCCTGTCAACCAAAATTCGGCAATTCGAAAATTTATGTAAGATGTTTTCTATCAGTTGCCTAATTTTGAATATTATATTAATCAACAATATAAAGATTTACTTTTTAAGTCTTAGTTTTTTTTTTGGACGAATATTAAATACCTACATAACAAAAAATAAAATTATGCAAGTAAGTACTAGCTAGATCTAGCAGCCCAAAATTTAAAATATCTGGATCGATCTGTATGTTTTTGACTGTAGGCATATATCCATACAGTCCATACATACCAATACCAAAAAGTATGTTAAAAGCGATCTTATTTTTTTTTTTATTTCGATCGTTGCCTAGGTATTTCTTTATTTGGCGTTAGGATTCGTGATTTGATCTAAAATATTTTCAAGTAGGTACTTTAGATATAGGTAAGTTTAAGTCTGTTCAACTATGATTTATCTACTATTAATTAAAAATGTGGCGGTAAATGCCTTCTACAGCATTGTCTGCGCTTCCTGGATAGAAATGAGTATTGGGATTCGTCATATGATAAAACAAAAATATTCCTTTTTTAATTTTAGTTTTAAGTTTGATTTTTTTGCTCTATTAAGATTAAGTACCTATATTCTTATATTCTTAAACTTAATTTTGTTCAATAAATACGAATATTATCTACAACGTTTCGTTTCATTTGTTGCCTGCGACGCAGTAATTACTCTTTTGGTGTAGTGGATGTCCATGGGCAGAGGCGATTGCTTACGTTCAGGTGATGCATTGGCTCGTTTGCCAAACATTACTATTAAAAAAAAGAAAATTATATTTTTTATCAACTTTATTTCCATCGACAAAACTAGTGTTAGTGATCTGTGACAGTGAAATAGAAAGTGCGAACACAGTCAGTAAATTATTGGCTATGAAAGCGACAGTGGCGACGCGTAGCGTTTAAAACATTTCCGGAAGCTGTCAAATAATAACAATGTAAACATTATAATTTTCTTTGCAAATATAAATAAAACCAAAGATTAAAATATTATTGTTGACATTATTTAAGTGCAATTTATTCAATAGTTTTACTGTAACATGAATATAATAATAAAAACCGACAGCTGATCGTCTGCATTTGTTTCCAATTTCTGCCGTGTTGTGCGCTGCGGTCGTTATCTGTCCGCCACTACTCGCTTTGCACATAGCCAATAGGCACACAAAATATTTCTGTTTAACAATTAAAGTAAAATTGAACGTTTGTATTGTATGTACTATTTTACTTAACATTTAGAGAATTAAAAATCCAAATAAAAATGGCGTTCGCGCCAATACCAAATCATAATCTAAAGATTAAATAGTACCAAAACAAAATGGCCGACCGTGCTCGCTTTTACACGAATACATTAAATTTTATAAAACACACAATTACTTTAGCTAATAATCAACACATCTAATAAGAAATAGGTAATTAACAAAATATTGTAAAACGAAATAAATATAATTCGAGGGGTGAATAAACTAGAATTTACCCAGTTTTAGGGGGAAAAAATATAAAAGTTAGTTTGACGTAGAGCGATTAAAGCCTTCGTATCCACAAATATTACTTTCATGCTTGGTTGTCGGCAGTATTCAGGCAACTATAAATACTATAATTAATTTATAAAAAGGATTTATTGTAGTTATATAAGGCTTGCCCGTCTTGTTACTCCATACATGATACAAAGGAAATGACCATATTAGATTTCAAACCAAATATTATTGAAAATAAGTACAGTAGGTAGGTGGACCTGGACTTATTTCATATTCTATGTATAAATGTATCTTAATCTTCTTCATCGTATAGTTAAATATTTTTTTTTTGCTCTACGTCGCTGAATACACAGGGTGTTTCTAAAATACTACGTTTCAGTATTTTACGTGGAAAGTAGCGCTTTAACGTCATTCAGCAAAAAGAAAAAGAATATACTGCAAAACATTTAGGCCCCACGCGACTTTACACCGTAAACACATATACCTTGATGTTACATTAGCACAAACAAATAATAACAAGTTCACAACGAAACAATGAACTTTAATTGTCACCAACTAATAGGACAATGCAAGTTTAGCTCAAATGTCAAAATTGTGTTATAGATTTTCATCTTAAACCAACGTATTAAGGTTCATAATCGATTAAAGGAATTTTAGTATTAGTAAAAAGGTTCTAAGCGTCTGTGCAACACATCTTCACAACTATACATAGCCCCAAACAAGTGCATAGAAAGTAAATCGATACACTGAACACATTTATTCGTATTATTAAAACTTTATCATTAAATATAAAGGTCACTTGTCGAAATAAAACATGGACGGCATAAAAATGGAAATTTCATTGATTTCTTCATTCATTTCGTACAATTTAAAGCTGAACATCGGATAGATATTCTTTTGCCGCCATTTTAAGATACCTAAAGATAAGACTCAGTACTTTATTTGATTAACTTGACATTTGAAGATTCTGCGCTCAGTAGATGGCGCTTTGAGCCATTCCAACTCAAAAATCCAATACAATATGCCCAATTTTGAAAGTCATTCTTATGACTCAGAAATAATGACTATATTAGCTCAGCCGTGAAATAACTAAATACAGTAAATGACAGTTACACATACATATAGATAAAATGTACGTATATAATATTTTACTGTGTATTCAAACTATATGTTACATTGGAATACATAGAGTTCAAATTTGATTGAAACATTGAAATTAATCTGTTTACTAAGATTAAGTTCTAGAATCTTCTACTTTGTTTCTACGTTATACATATTAATTATATGCATACAATAGATTAATATGGATACAACATGAAGAAAAAAGTATTGAAAATCAAGTATTTATTGTACCTCACGATGAAAAATAAATTTTGCGATAATCAAGAAAAATATATATTAATAAATTTTGACATTCCTGCATTCCATAAAAATATATATTTAAATCAGAAAGTGTTGATTTTTCAAATGTTAGATAAAAGTTATCTGGGAAATAATTATGATGCTGTCGCGTCAGAATGTTTGTATAAGACAGTGACAGCAACAATTTTATTCCTCACAAAACATTTATCTGCAGAGTATTAAAAAATCATCCCTAGGTATAATAATAAGAACAATGTCTACAAACTCATATTGCATTTCGAATTTTAAAATATTTAATTCTGTGTTGCAAAGTTTAAAATCAAAATAATTAGCTGGGTTTACACTTACGGAGACACTCGCAAGTCAAACTATCCAAGAATTTGTTTTATATTCATTTACAAATTGGTTTATATTACAAAAATAAAATTCACAATTAATATTAGGAATTTTATTGTTGTTAAAATATTCAAATTCAAACTTGAAAATGGAATAAGGAATGAGCCAACATTTTCCTCCTACCTTGAATGATATTTTTAACAACATCAATCTTCAAGAACTCACCATAAATTTCAATTTCCTTATCTTCAATCTCAGTTACAAATAAAATTAAGATATAAGTATAACAAACTAAATCTAAAAATATTTAAATAAAATAATTAAAAACTAACATAAGCAACTACCAAATTAAGTTATTATATCTAAGTATTATAACATAAAAATAAGTACATTCAATTTGGAATGTTATAAACCATGTCAAAATCACTCAAAATCACATAAAATACTTTTCCTGACCTCATTTTATAATAACTATTAGTAAGACATACTAAATGTTGTCTTAATTAAGGGCTCCGGTCAGGCTCGAAACCAGTCGGGCGTCCCTGTAATACGTAATAACGTAAGTTTTCCGCACGGAAAATATTGAATTGCAACCCTTTTAACTTTCGTTGGTCCAAAACTGTAATTTTTCATACATATTGTACACGACAATCCCTGTTCACCGTTTCTCCTACAGCTCATAACAAACTCCTTAGACAAACGAATGTCTTGTAAAAAAGTAATTTAACAACAAAACAATAACAAACTAAACACCTAAACATATCCAAATAATGAGATCAGAGCAATTATCAAAATTGCCTTTTAAAGGCGGCGCCGTAAACGATCAGTTACACGAAACACACCCTTATTTCAAAATTCAGTACACTTCAAATTTACTTTATAAAGCAGGTGTAAAAATCACAATCAATAAGATCACAAATATTCATCAATTAAGTAAAAGTGATGGAACAATACATTCACACTGTCTAAATGCACAGATTGTTGTACACACGGAGGGCTAAGCGCTGAATTAATATTTCCGGAACAGTTAATAATGTAACTTAATCCATAAGCCAATAAATTCAATAATATTACCATTTCTTTGGCAAGTAACACTAGGGCTAATGACGATATTAAAAAAAAAATAAGGTTAAGGCTCTCGTTTCTCACGCACAAGGGTGCGAAATCCTGGCAAGTTCCAATGTAATTTTTTCCGAGTTATAATATGTTCTCTCTATGATTATTTAGCCCTCCAGTTGCCACATAATATGCGATGAACCTTCCATTGACTATTAAATCCTTACACTCCTAACCTTGAAAACACATTGACTGTGTGAATTCTAACATTAAGTTTCATTCCACACTAATAAATAATTCTAAGAGATCAATAATTCGTACAACACGCCATACCATCTTTAGTTACGCATTCTATAAACAACGAACTTTTCAAAACACATAACTACTAAAAATTTTTGAAAAAACATCTCCTTGTGTCAAACAGTGTTATAAAATTTTAATTTGAAACACGAAAACAATGCATGGTGCCAATTTTTGTGAAAAGGGTGATTAGTTGTTGATGCCTCCATTGTAAGCGTAATCCGCTTTGTTATGCATCACCAGACGGTTGTCTACAAAGTAAAAACTGTCCGAACAGGTTTCAAAAGGCGCAGCAATCATTTCGTCAACTGAAACATAAAAATAATTATGTTAAAAATGGTTTTGCCTCCTCATTTATACCACATACATCGAGGGATTGGAACAGTTTGCCGGCTGAAGTCTTTCCGTCCAAATATAATTTAGGTGTCTTCAAGGCTAGAGTGAATAGGCTCTTAATAAACTAGTGCGCCTTACCATCAACGATTCCATCACTGCTTACCACGAGGTGGGATCGCAGTCAAGCACTAGTTTATTGCAAGTAAAAAAAAAAGTTTTAAGTCACTACAGTTTTGTGTATAACGAATTGGAGATAAAATTACACTTATTCTCTGGCAGAACATTGATCTATGTAGGTAATATTCATTCAAGAAAACTCATACTATTTCATTGTCGCAATAACAACTTTGTGGTATAAAACATTAACACCCGGTTTCCGAAAGGCCGATCAATATTAAAATCAATTTAATCTCTTGTCAAGTCATCTGATTGGTTGACTGAATTATGAACAACCAATCAGATGGCTTGACAAGAGATTTAACAGGAGATTAATTAATAATAGCGTTGACAAGCCTTTCAGAAACTGGGTGTAAGAATCTTACCGAGATCAGGAGGCAGTGTAGGGAACTCATAAATGTGTTCACATGTATTTCTTGAGAATGGTATACAGAATCCAAATTCAAAATCAAATGTCTTCAGTAGGGTGTCTCTGAAGAAGTGCTTCTCTATCATCCTGAAGTGGTTTACAGGGCGAGCTCCGACAGTAAACTCCACACTGTAAAAAAGTTAATATAATTGTTTATGTTTCTCATCTTCAGTTCTTCAAAATCGTATACAGATATAGAAGTTGGTCCATAAACATAAATAAAGTCATAAAATAAATAAATAATAAATAAAGGAATAAAAAAATAAATAATAATAAATAAAGTAATAAAAAAATAAATAATAATAAATAAAGTAATAAAAAAATAAATAATAATAAATAAAGTAATAAAAAAATAAATAATAATAAATAAAGTAATAAAAAAATAAATAATAATAAATAAAGTGAAAAAAAATATTGTCCATCAGAGAAGATTGATGCTAAGCACATTAACACCAAATGACTGAACTATATTAAATTGGAAATTGGAAAATTTGATGTCTCGATGATTTTATTTATTTATTTATTTATTTATTATAGGCTTCTCAACAATGAGTACACTATACTATATAATTTGTACATTTCAAACTTAATTCTAAGTGCCCCATTACTTATAGAGAAGCACAGCATGCACTATAATATTATGCGAGGGTATTAAAATAATTAATCGATTTTGAATAAATTATACATTATCAGAAAAGTTAAATTGAAGCTGAATTGATTACAAAAAATAAAATCTGAATTAGATACTTAACACACAAAATTAAATTAAAATTATATAAAATAGATTAGATTTTAAAAATTAAATTAAATTAAATTTGATTTAAAACAATTAAATTTGACTATTTGATTAGAGGTACCCATTAGATAGCAAGCGTGGCTCTTTTAATAGCATGTACAGAAGAGGTGAACAAGTCAATATCCGCTTCGTGCTCTTTGTAAGCAGTATACATTCGTGATAGTGGACAGTGTTGTCTCAAATTGGTGCGACATCTCGGCATGCAAAAAAGTTTCCTGTTAGAGCTTCTCGGCAGAATACGTGGCACATGGAATAAGACCCTACTGAGCAAGTCGGGACAGTTAAGAGAGCCCGTTACTAACTTCTTAAGAAAAACCAAATCGAGCATAACCCTGCGTCTCTCCAGCGACACCATCCCAAAATGCTTCAGTCGCTCATGGTACGATTTAAGCCTGTTTCCCATATTACTGGCATAAGTAAGATGCCACAGGAACCGCTTCTGCAGCCGCTCAATGGGTTCTGACCAGCAGATAAAAGTTTGGTTCAATTACCCTTATTCCAAATTAATATAGAGAATATCGAGGTAGTTATGGCCTTTTCAACACCCCTAATATAGGACATATCATAACATTGAACAATTTTGTGTCGGACATAAATGTTTTTCAAGATACTAGATCAGAATGAACATACTTAGATGTTTGTGATTGAATCCCAAAGTAGATTACGAGATATTATAATACCTAGGTTTTGAGGTAGATTCATTATAGCATATTCAGCCTTATTACAAAACAAGGTTTTACTTTAGTCTAGGACTAAACCATTGAGCCAGTTTTTGTATTTCGAATTGAAGGTAGATGACAATAAGATTCAAAATTCAAAACCCGACTCAATGGCTTAAACCTGGACTAAAGATAAATCTTGTTTTGTAATAAGGGAGAAAATGTTTAAACCATAGTATTTTTTGGTTGCTATTTTAAGTGATAGTCCTGTGTTTACTTTATTACTTTAATTATAATAAAAAATAAAAAAAAAACCTATAATAACAGTAGAGTTGACAAAAGATGTGCTAAGCCCTTTAAACATTCAGTCAGTGTTGTTAAATAATAAGACAAATTAATTATTGAAACTTGTGAAGAAAAAACTTACGTGGCTCCTACAGTCTTAAGTTTTAAAAATTGAGGCGTGAACTGGTAGCGGACGAATCTTCCAGCGTTAGGGTCTAGGGGCTCTTCGGGGGCATCCTCAGTGCCTTCACTATCCACTCCGAAATCCGTCGGTGGCTTAGCGATCTCAAACAAGACGGTTCCACTTTCCAAATCCCGTATTTTGAATCTTGTAAAATCTATGTCGTATACGTTAGCTTCAGGACTACACATGTAAGTATCCGTAATCCTGTCTAGCCTCAGAACATCCTCAGGAGTTATTTCACTGACTATTACGTCGTCTTTATTGGTTTCCAACATCGATATTGATTCACACTTTTTCCCCACTAAACTCATTTTGTATTGGAAAATACACTCGCTCGCAGAATAGTAAGTAATCTCAAAAATATAGGCACGAAAGTTACAAATTTAACGTAAGTAATGAAATGCGTATCAAAGCATTTTCAAAGCATTTTGTTACTAATTACTAAATCAAAATTCATTTGCTAATGTTTGGTTTTCACGTCAACCTGAAACTATGACGGCGGAGATCAGATATCACGACAAATGAAAACATTAACATTGGCTTTATTCACTAAATGAAAGTGTTTGTTTTTATATCGATATATAGTAAAAATTATTATTTACTATCCTTCTAGTAAAATAATACAGTCAAATTTAAATTATCATGATGTTCATTTCAAAATGTTTTCACTTAGTGAATCCGAACGCATGAAACTTCATTTTTGACGTTTTATTTTTAGTTAAGATTGGAGATAATATTTTTTCCTAAATGTATTTGCATTTCTTCATCACACAATAAATTCTGAATGATGGACATGAATTAAATATATATTTTCACTTTTATTATTTTGGTAAGAATTGGATATCAAAAAGAATATTTTTTAATTACTTGCGTTGTACAAACATTGCGCGAAATGGAACGAATCGAGTTCCGGTCCAGTTTCATGAAAAATACGGTTCTTTTCACGATAAGCAAAAATTACATTAATAACATCAAAGGTTGTTTAGTTTAGTTGTTAAGAAAAAAATCAAAACAATTCGACAGATTAATAAAGTGCACATTGTGATTTCAATATATTCTTTCATGGATTTTTATTTATGAAAGACGAAAACTGATAAAATAGGAGTTACGTAGAAGGGAATGGTTTTGCAATCGTTGACGTAATATCCGTTGCGTCATAACGAAGCATGCGCCTTGTCATTTTCATTGGTTGGTCATAGATTAAAATTATAATAATCTACCAATAATCGGGCCATCGCTCAAGTCTCGTTCTGTGATAAGTCTTCTTTAAAGGTGGTAGTGGACTGTCTGATGTGCATTTAAAGTGTTATAAAATAAATATACAACATGATTATCAAGGAATAGTGAGTATATTATGATAAGGTTATACAAGTTTGCGAATACAAATCGATTTTTAGGCAATCTAATTGAAAATTTGCCACGGTCCACATAGTTGTTGTATGTTATCACCAGAAGTTATACGTAAAGTGAAATTTTAATTGTAACATTTAATTGAATTGCTTTAGTTATAATGTCGACATAATAAAAAGGTTGTGACAGTGACAGATGATCAGGTCAAGGTTTGTTCGCGGAGGCAGTGAATTTCCGCGGATTTTTTTAACAGATGTTAGTAGCATATTTGGAGGTTTTAAAGCTAAATTAAAACGCAATTCTTTTTGTTTGCAGCCGTGTGACACTCCCCTTAACAGTCGAGGAGGTGAGTTTTTAATTTTAAGTAACGTTAGTCTCAAGGACAATAAGCCTGGCTTTTGTAATCGCGAAATTCGCAACTTGCTCTGTATTAAATGTCATATGTGGCAATAATGTTTTTAAATATCAATCTTGATTCAGATCATAGCATAGTAAGAAACAATTTCCATAGAATTGGTATAATTTTAAAAGATAGCTTAACTTTTTTAAATTTACTATAGTATAAAATATTCTAAGTATCTAGTTGTGACAGATTATGGAAGTAAATTCTTTACATTTCTCCCTTAATGCTCGACAAACAATGACTTAAAATAGGACATAACGAAGCTTTTGAATTTTGGTTCTATCCAATTTACTGTCATTAAGTTTATTTTTTTTTGTATTTTTCTAAGACTCTCGAATATAAGAATTCTATATTATCTTTTTACTACAGGCAATGATATCAACCCAATCAGCCAAGTCACTTTCAAACATATAACATATATATAATAACAGATACACATATACATTTACATTTACTAAAAAAATAGTCTATGGTATAGTTATTTTTTTTTAAATATTGTTAAAATAAACTTCTTGCAATGTATGCCAAAACTGCTAGTGATATTATCATTTAATAGATTACTCATTGTTGTCTTATCAAGACTAAATTAACTTATCTTTGTCTGGGTGTAATAATAAGGGTTCACACAGAAATTATTATAAATCTATTCATTTTAAGATGGAGATTGTTGTTTTCTTTTCAAGTAAATCTGTTGTGCATTTAAAATGAAAAATATTATGTGCACTTAGAATACATAATTTATTTTGTTTTGAAAGAAACTTGCATGTGACTAGTTATTCGTTTTAAATTATGTCAAAGCAGTTGACAATAGTTTAATAATTCATTTTGTATATGGAATCTCTATGGTCTTAAAGCCCTAACAGATATCAAATATTTTATCAAATGAATTTACTTTATGCTAGATTAATCTTTTCAATAGATTCAACATTATTATTGTTTGGAACAAAACTAATAATAAGTTTAGAATTTATTTTTCTATTATTGAAAAAAATTAAATTCCTTGGGTACTTGACCACAATTGTGCACTATAAATTTGAATTTAGAACATAAGTTCATTGGGTACTTGTCTGATTTTCAGCCTAGAGAACGCACTTACGAGCAAAAATATTTAATTACACCTATTAAAAGGCTGGCAATACCTTTGTAACTCCTTTGGTGATGCAGGTCTCCCTCCATAGGGGGCGCTAATTGCTTACCATTGTGCTTACCACTGGTGATAAAGAGGCTTGTTTGTGGCCATATCAAATAAAAAAAGATATATAACCTTATGTTATTTTTTATGCATAGAAACACCAATGTTCACTACCTATGTAAAATAATATTATTACCAGGTTACCCACAATTTGAGGGAAATAAAATCGCTTTTTCCTTCCTTGCTAATTCATAATAGAATGTGATATTAATACCTAATAATGTAATAAGGTTTTTCTACTACCCATTGTTGCAGTCTTCAGCATTAAAAAAACATAACAAGCCAGTGTTTCGTAACTCTAGGTAGTAGTAATTAACCACTTGTGTTACAAAAAGCCTCATAAATTGAGATACATACATACTCCTTTTTAAAAGGCAATATACTCCTTTTTAAAAGACCGGCGACGCATCCGGGTGTCCTCTGGTGTGGCAAGTGTCTAAGGGCGGTGCTGATCACTCACCATCAGGAGAACCGTCTCATCATTTCATAAAAAAATGGTTATTGGTAATAATAACTGAAGATTAATTATTATGTTTTCGGCTTACTCACGTAATAATTTGACAAGATACTCGACTAGTTTCAAGCCATGATAGAGGCCCATATTCATGAGCAGCATACCGCGACACGCGAATCGGTGACTGTCGCGCTAAATTATTACCTGAGTAAGCCGAAAACATAATAATTAATTTAGAATGTTTCACGATAGTTATACTAAAAATAACTGAAGAATTGAAAAAAGTTCGTTGTGTTTCGCCGTGTTACTAATTACATCCAACTGACACGGCGAAACCTTAAACCCAAAGATTTATTTATTTGGACAATCAGTAGTTGTTACATTAATACTTAACTTAATATTATTTTAAAATAATACATAAATCCACAACATTTTAAGATGTCACAGCATGCATCATAAGGTAACACTGGTTTTATAATACATTCAGTAATTAAAGATTGTCAATACACTAGTTAAGTTGTATATTTGGCGTTGTTGATTTCTATAAGCGTATCGGTCGATCCATCCGCCGGTTTTCCGCCCTATCTCTACGAAGTTCTCCACTGCTGACCCCTTTCGTCTCGAGATAAATCAAATTTAGCATAGCATACAACAGACCCTGACCTAGATAATACATAGGGGTCGGTTTGACCTCGAAACGCGGGCCAAGTCGCGGTACGCTTTTTTTACATCGTGATAGAATTTGCCTTATATACGACTGCAGGAAATTGTTAAAAGGGTTGTTATTGGTTCTGTTCGCAGAGAAATGAAATTTCGGTAGCTAAGTATACAGTAAATTTTTTTTTGTTTCGTTTTCTTCGTTCATGTTAATTTTCAAAATTGTCGATCAGTTCGTAAGTGCTTTTTACTAGCGTTGCCGTCAACGTTGTGTTTGCGCAGCGTCGACGCCGCGTCGTCGCGTGGCAAGCATTAACGTATTTAGGTTATCCCACGGACGTTAATGCTTGCTTAAAAATGTACGAGAAATGTAGGCAGCATCCGAGATATCAAGTAGTGTTAAAAGAAAATGGATGAAATTGGTTTGCTTTGTAAAAACTAGGGGTGACTGGGAAAAATACACTTACCTACATTTGGGCGCCAACTAATGGTAGTTTCTGTAGATTATAAACTCATAATGATGTATGGTGATATGTAAATCATACATATTACATATGTATAATTACATACTGAATAACCTATGTATAAACATTTGAGTTTGGAGTTATCGTAGTTGTGTAATAGGTAGAAATAGTTAGCGCCATTCGCTAACATTTTATCAATGATAGTATTACTTACATTCCAAATGATAAATGTTATCACACTTTCCTTGTATTCCCTGGGAATTAGTTGTAAGAATTCGATAACATCGGTTCGTTTTATCATTTTGTTATCCCTTCAGAGATAGACAGAACTAGTTTTCAGTTTCATTTTTAACTAGCTTCCGTCTCCATCTTCGCCCTCGTGGTATGTAAATAGTAGCTTATGTGTTAATCTAATCCATGGTGTCACCTATCGACAATTTTCAACAAAATCGGTCAAGTTTTTGCGTGTGATAAGAACAAACATACATCCATATATTCTCGCAAACTTTCGCATTTATAATATAAAGTAGTAGGACTACGTTCTTTTAGGGAACTAGTTAGGGCTTACTCGACAAAGCTTAGTTTTAGTAAATTTATTACTTTTTAATACATACAAAACTTTACTGAAATAATTATTGTGTTTGATGCAAAAAAGTGACGTCATGTTTACCTATAATTCATAGAAACCTCTGATAGGTATATCGAAGTGAATTTTACTAGGTTTTATCATCCCCATTTTTTCGAAACCAAGGAGGAAGAATATCTTTTATATCCTACAAAAAACTAATTAGTTCCAAAAAAAAGTTTTTACATAAACAGTAAACATATTCTTAAATAATATGTACGTATGTAGGTATGTATTTTATTCAACGTATGTAACAGTTAACCTTGCCGCAAGGTTTTTGAAACTAGAAAAAAATATCTCGATTCATCATTTAAAAAACGTCCTTGCTTATATTAATTTATGGTTGCGTTTATAATAACTACTTATTCTCGTATACGTCTCTTTGTCATCTACACGGAAAATGAATACATAGGTATCTAACAGACATACATTTAACATCTTAACGAGCTGTATTATGGGAAATGTCACTTTAAAGCGATTGTTATAAGTGTGATTTTTCGTTGTCTTGTAGTTTCGTCTTTTTCGCCCTTCGACGTACCTAACAACAGTCGATCGGAAGATTGCATAATTATGTTTTAAAACAGAAAATGTACGTAATTTTACTGGCCAAAGCCAAGAGTTTGTTTTATCAGGGTAAAATTATCAATTGACTTCTCCCGCCTAGAGTAAGGCAGGAGGAAGTGTCAGACTCTAACTGACTAAAAACACCCCCGTTCCTTCGCCTGCCTCATTGCGCTTGCCCCGCAACCCCGGCTGAACATCAGCCCTATAGAAGCTTAGTTTTAAGGTTGATAAGCCGATTAGTATAATTAACCACAATTCTTATAATATTCCTATTTTTTTACTTGTTAGCTCATAATAACTACTGAACCGATTTCTGTGAAAATTGGTACAGACATAGTTTATAACTTTAGAAAAGACATAGGATAGTTTTTATACCAAAAATCTGCAGGACCTCACTTTTCCACGCGAACGGAGTCGCGGACAAAAGCTACTAAAACTATATTCTTTCGTAGAATGCCAACTTATTATTTTTCACGGTACCTACAGTGTACGATAAAAAACTTGCTTTATCATTCATTGATACCGTTGCCAATGCTAGTTCCTCTTAGGAAACCCTCTGGCAGTACTCCAAGAAACAGTCGCAAAGTTAGATGTATAGCGACGTAGATCTTACGATATCATACGTTTCTCTTAGCCCAGTAGCTTATTCCGTAGATATATAGTTCCATAGGTAACCAAATATATCAATTGTTTTTTAAACCATAGAGAAAAAAACCCGTTTGAAACTCTATACATTTTAAATTCGGATTGCCATTTCTAGATTAAGATTTTAACTGGGTTTTTGGCAGATTTTTTTTTTTTATTAATTGCAATGAGGTCTGATAAGTTTGGACGTATGTAACTAATAAGTATGTATTTCATTTGTTAGCAATTAAAATATAATGCATGTGTAATAATATTATGTACCTACGTGTAAATAAACATTGCAAATTCGCAATGTCTCGTGAATTGACCCAATTACTGCAAATTTCTCAACGGTAACATAGCATCAAACTCAGAGTATCTCTGAACCTAATAGCATCAACATCCACTCAGCCTTTACACAGTTATTGCACAAAAACGTCTTTGAATCATATTTTCAATCATACTTTTTTAATCATACTTATATATTTTTTTTTTGCTTAAAACATGGAAACGTAACATTTATATTGTTACTTAACATTTTCTTTCAAAGGAAGTCTTGACAATGATGAAGTAGATTCGTAATGAAGTGTGCAGATCTAATTATAGTTATTTAATGCGTTATTATTGACTCTCTTGTTTTTATAATGCACGCGATATACCTAAAGTACTTACGGCTTTATTTTCAGGCTAAGTCTAACTTATAGCGAACGCAACTACAAATAAAATTGACTAAAAATCACATTTGGGGTCTTGTTATTCGCAATTTGCTAGTCAATCAACATATGTTAGATAGTGGGTATACCCACTATCTAACATATGTTTAGCCTTTATCGAAAAAAAAATAGTAAAAATTATCTGTCTTTTAAGCTGGTTAATATTTTATTATTTATGTTCTAAGGTTTCTTTTGAAAGTTTGTACAATGTTTTGGTACGTTAACAACTGTTCGGTGGATTCGAAAGCCAGGTTTAACTAATTTTATCTTTTGCATATTTTTCATTACGTAGACACAATTGGGTAGTTTTCTAGGTCAAAAATAAATTAATTCAACCTTTCAATACAATAAAATATTGAAAAATAACTGTAATTTTATTCATCGATCGATCGATACACTAGCACCCGGTTTCCGAAAGGCCGATCAATGTTAAAATCAATTTAATCTCTTGTCAAGTCATCTGATCTGATTGGTTGACTAAATTATCAACAACCAATCAGATGACTTGACAAGAGATTTGACACCTAATTAGTTGATTTTAATATTAATCGGGCTTTCGGAAATCGGGCATTAGTTTCAGATTTTTTTATAGCTAATTATTAATAAATAAGTAAGCTATTTGACGCAAAAGTGTTATGACGTCATAACTCAGTTTGTCATACAAATTTCATAGAATTGTATCGTTTTTGACGTTTGGATAACAGTATTGAATTTCACTAGTTGGAAACTATTACAGCATTACATAGTGTGTCACACATTTCAAAAATATTAGAACTTGTTTGTCCCTTACATATCAGAACAATCTGATCTTAGCTATTACATGTAAAGGTCTCATTGAAATATTTGTCCACAGTATCAAGTGGGCCAGTTATACTGCGTCGCAGAAGTCTCCAAAAACGAAACTGGCGGCGGTGAAGGAATTGAAGTTATTAAGAATGAGCCCTTCAAAGATTATCCTCTACTCGGTAAGTTACTATATAGATTATACTTATGTACTAAACAGGAACACTGATTACAAAACTTACACTTAAGTTATCGATAAAGCACACATTATCATGATGTGAATTCAAAATTTTGAAACTAGCTACTGCCACTTGGTTTCATCCGCCGCTTATAGCCTATCTACAGCACTCAGGAACATTGTAGCTGTCTATCAGTGAAAGAATTATCGAAATCAGACCAGCGGTTCCAAAGATTTACCCCCTACATGCGAACTAACGAATTTACCTCTTTATAATATTAGGTAGTATAGATATTCACACGACTAGCTTATAGTATCAAGGTCTCACCTGTGAATGAACATCTGTCTAATCAAAATCATACACTAAATCGATAAAGTCACTGTTACGATAATCGATTCTTTTGTCCTTTGGCAATTCAGTGTCGGTTGTGTTAACCAGGCGTTTGCCCCGACTGTTCCCGCGTCAATTTTAATAATTTAGATCAATTAACCTTTAACAGCTATCGTTTGGGGTAATTTAAAGCAGTGAAGCGCTGATATTGTTGATGATAAAGGTTTTTTTTTGTAGATTCCTACCAGTCACGTAGGAGTCCAAATCACCAAATAGGTTAAATGACAAATTAAATGTAGGTTATCTTCCTGAAATATTTTGGCTTATTTTCAAGCCCTCTTTATAGTCTATAGTCTATGGTTTAGGTAGTTTACTTAAGGTAAATAATCTTGGTATGTCTTTTAATATTAAAAACGGTCGTATAAAATACATACAAAGATTATTTAAATTTATTTTATTAGATACTAGCTATTCTCACGCGGTTTCACCCGCTGCTCGGCTCCATTTAATCGTAGCGTGATGTTTTATAGCCTAGCACTCAGGAACATTGTAGCTATCTATCAGTGAAACAATTTTACCCCCCCCCCCCCTACATACAACAAACTTACAAATACCTCTTTATAATATTAGTATAGATTTAGGTACCTAAATACCTGAATTTAAACTTTATTTACATACAATTTTTAGATCAAAAGATATGCTAATATTGCCTAAATCGATAGGTCACAGTAGCTTAATACACTAATAAATACATGGATATCGTGCAGTTTGAAACTATATGTGACAATTACCTCCGACCCGCACACAACAGTATTTATTTCACCTGTAATCATTGTTACAAGGTTGAAAACGACCGAGAGTACATTAGGATTGTGAGTAGCTTCTGCAATTAGGGCCTCGGGTTCAAATACATGCCTATGCCTCAAACATCGCTAATTGGGTAATTTCCTAGGTCAAAAATAAATTAATTCGACGTTTCAATACAATAAAATCTTTTATAATATAAAAATAAAATCGCAAAATGTGTTGGTAGCGCATAACTCAAAAACGGCTGGACCAATTTTGCCAAATTGTTTGACTGCATGGTTGGTGCGGTGGATGGGCAAGGCTGCCGTGCGACATGTCGCGGGTTCGATTCCCGCACGGAACAACCCTTTGTGTGATCCACAAATTGTTGTTCCGGGTCTGGGTGTCATGTGTATGTTTGTAACCGCACCCACGACACAGGAGGAAATCCTAATGTGGGGCAACGTTTTAAAAAAAAATGTCAGGATAAGGTTCTTATGAAAGAAAATATTAGAAAAGTAGAGGGGAAAATTGGGAAAAAGTGACCCTTTCGTTGTTAGCGAGATAGTTTAACGCGCGCGAAGCGGGGATGGGCCGCTAGTATTAAATAATAACCTTTACTTTCATTCACCGATCTGTCGATACACAAAAATTTCGAGATTATGTTTTCTTATTTTTAAGAAAAGATATTTGAAGAAAACTACTATTACAGAATTCGGAGTTTCATACAAATTTCATAGAAATTTTTTTTTTAACATTTGGAATAAAGTATTGAATTTGACTAGTTGGAAACTACCGTATTGAACCTCCAACAATCGTATGAAATCTAGGAGACGTATCTTCACTCAGCCTGCTAATGAGGAAACTTGCAATACTCAAAACTAGTTTGTAAACAAAACTTGATTTCGATTACAAGGTTTTTTGATAAAACCGGTTTTTGTTTGTACCTTAGCAACTCAAAGTTACGATTGTTTAATATTAATGTAATTAATTAATTTGTTACTAAACATTTTTAAGGTTATTTGGTAAGATTAACACGTCATAATATCACCAGTTGACGCCAATGTAGACCAATCACGGCACAAGAGGATTTTCGTCATTGTAATACTATAACGTAATAATATTTAAAGCCCGTTGTCCGCTAAATTGAAACTTAAGTCTTCTTTACTTTCCAATTATTATCACAAAGTCCCATTTTTCCATAAAACCTCCTTTATTATTTTCTCAAACTAGCCTGCTCTCGCGCGGTTTCACTCGCTGCTCGGCTCCATTTAATCATAGAGTGACTTTTTAGCCTATAGCACTCAGGAACATTGTAGCAAATCAGTGCAAAGAATTTTGGCAATCCGACCAGCGGTTCCAAAGATTACCCCCCTACAAACAAACTTACAAACATACAAATTTTACCTTTTTTATAATATTAGTATAGATGTCCCTTTAATTAACCGAAGTCTTGTAGATGCAAAAAAATTATGTGGTTTTAATGTGGTGTATATCAATCCTTCAAGAATGTCTCCCTTATTTCACTTGCATATATAAACCTAGTCTTCTTTGTATAAAGATGTATCATATTGTACATAATTATAGTAAAAGATATGATGAAACTACCATATTTTCCAGGTCACATTCCCTCGCTAAATAGAAACATAGATATAATTTTTTATCATAATGCTAGTCCTAATAAACAATACAACATCGAATTGTTTAGAATAGTCTAGCTAGTGCTACAAAACGAATTGGTAAGACAAGTATTTCGTAAGTTGTTAATCCTGAAATAGTCTTAAATTCACGGCCAAACCACCTACTCAAATTGTGTGAAATAGTTTCAATTATTGGGCGTTGTTATACAAGTACACCTTGGATGCAGTCATACTAGCAAATGTTTTTGTATTTCGAATTTCAGTATCACCATTATCATATTTCTTAATTTTTTTATGCCACAATATATTACTTACGCGGCACGCCTCGGTTTTATACAGACAGCATGCGTAATACCACGACACACGGGTTTGTCACTAACCATAGTGAATGTATGAACCGGATAAACTTCTGCCGCGACATAGTAATATATTTCAGGTTTAAGAAAATGATAATGGTGGTCTTAAAGAACTTATATTTTTTCTGTACATAGGAACTATATATATAAGATCGACTAATCGTCTTTCTTTCTAGCCAAATTACTACAACGTAAAATTAACACAAGCAGAAGAAAACTTGCTAAAAATTATAACCTTATTTTTTACCAAAACAACTTTATTCACAATAAATCTGGCTAATGGACTTTTAGATTTAATTAATCGTATCCTATGTAAAATGTACACGATTTGGTCAACACAAACAACCTATAATTGACTTCATTGTGGCAATTACGTCATTTGATACGTGTGAAATCAACACATTTACTATTGATAGAATAGTAAATGTGTTGTGCAGGGTAGCGTGTTGGGACCGATTTTATTCCTTTTATATATAAACGACATCGTAAATATTACCAACCATAAGTGTGTACTCTTTGCTGATGATATATCAATTATAGTTACAACAAATAAAAATAGAAACACAACCAAAGACCACGAACTTGACATAAACAACACAATAGATAAACTTATAGATTGGCTAAATAAAAATGAATTAAAAATAAATTTAGACAAGTCAGTATACATACAATTCAACAAATCTTATAATTCCAAATATGACATTAATCTTAATATACCAAAAATTAATAGGACAACTGACACAAAATTTCTAGGCTTAGTTATGGACGAAAATATCAATTGGAAGGAGCATGTAGAAAATGTATCTATGAGGATAAATAAATTTGTGTACGCACTTAAACAAATAAAGCGCATTACAAGCCTTAACACGGCCATTATGACCTACCACGCGCACGTAGAATCAATACTCCGTTACGGTCTGATAATATGGGGATATAGCACAGACAGGGATAAGGTATTTATCGCACAAAAAAAGTGCATAAGGGCGATGTATGGTCTGCAACCTGATCAGTCTTGCCAGCCAATATTTAAAAAACTTGGTTTGTTACCATTACCGTCGCTTTACATCTATGAAGTTTGTATTTTTGTAGCAAAAAATAGACATTTATTTAAAAGTGCAAACGATGTCTATTCTCGAAATCGCAGAGATCCCTTTAGACTTGTACTAAGTGACATTCCTAAATCAGCAAAGTATAATAAGAACTGTTTAGCTATGTGTATTCGAATTTATAACAATATACCAAATGATTTAAAATATCTTGATCTCAATACATTTAAAAATAAATTGTATAAATGGCTTAATGAACAAAATTTTTATTCCATACATGACTTCATGCAAAGGAAACTGTATTCTCGGTATCGACTGTGATCTGCCTGCTATCCTATATTGTTTAATTTTGCATGCTATATATAATTAGCAAAACATGCTGGACTTTCATACTTTTTTGTAAAACCTTGTTATACCGTGTTTTATGGCAATAAATAAAATATTATTATTATTATTAATATTATATTATTATTATTAATCCTAATGTTTGTCGTGAGTCAGAGGGGACACGTCAAAAAGCACGCTTTAGGTACATCATCATTATAACAACAACAGGCTGGATGTAAGCGAGAATAGTTGCCCATCTAGCAATGTGCGCATCTCCATCGGCCCATGTAAAGGGCACTACGTTTTTAAACTATCGAACACGATGGATGACGTCATTGAAATTGCAATAAAACTTAATGGTTACGCGTTATTGCGTTTATCGATTGTTTATGTGCGCGTCTATTGTTTTGATTGATACACGTCTTTTATTTTTATCGATAGCGATATTATTTTTTTGTAGTGTAGGATCACGCGTCACATTTTATGTCAAAGTTTTTTCGAAAACCCTTGAATTTTAA